ATTGCTGAAGAAGCTTTACGGCTTTTGTGGAGCATAAGTCTGTCGCTAAAATATTCATCAAAAAAGAGAAGAAGTCACTGGCAAATTTTAAACAACATTTAGAGTTGAATGAACACCAGTTCTACACAATATAGAAAGAGAAGAGGAAAAAACACTTTCCATTTTCTGAAGTCAATAGGACGCTGGCACACAACTAAAGACTAAAGCCATGGTTAGGCTTTAATCCCAGCACTAGGGAGGCAGAGGATCTCTGTGAGTCTGAGGCCAGCCTGGACTACACAGTGAGTTCCAGGACAGACAAAGTTATATAGAGACCCTGCCTCAAAACAAACAAACAAACAAACAAATAAATAAAAATAACAACTACAGATGGTAAGACAGTTCAGCAGGTAAAAGCACTTCCATCAAGCCTGACAAGAGTTCAATCCGTGGACCCCACATAGTAGAAAGAGCAACCTTACTCTGAAAAGCTGTCTTCTGACCTCAACATGGGCATGCACACACACACACACCCATGTCCACACACTTACCCATAAGAGCACACAAAATAAGTAAACATTAACAAAAACATTTTAAGGTGTTTAAAGGCGAAGGTTACTGAAAAAATGGCTTAGTGGTTGAGGGGTATCCACTTCAAAGTGCCCTGATATCCATCCACAAGAGTGCTAGGCATGCATGTGTGAACTCACACACACAAAACTAATTAATACAACAACAAAGACCTAAAGACGAATTTCCTTCATGTTTACAGACACACAAATTCTAAACTATGTAACAGGACATCCACTTTGCCAGTACGTAAAAACTATAGGTTACAACAAACTCAAGTTGTTCCAGAGATTCAAGGCAGGCTCAGGACTTGAAAATTAACCCCTAGAATTAATATTAAAAGACTGAAGAGGCTAAGTTGCATAATCCTATTACCTCCATCTTCCAGATCTCTCGACGGTAACATGTCCTAAGCCTCAGCCTCTCTCTGCACCGTCTGCCTTAGGACTCCTATATTTTATCTGTAGCCCAGAACTTGCCCTTGAACTCCAGACTGTTAAGTCCAATTGCCTATGTATTTGTATAGGTAGCCCTCTGTACCGGGGAGCCCCAAGCCACCAATTCAACCAAGCACAGACCAAAAATATTTGGCAAAAAAGCCTGAAATTGTATTGATCATGTACTCTGCTCTTTAATGTTATTAATTCCTTTTTTAAAAAATGTGCCTTTTTTTGGCTATGTTTTGTTTTTCATGCTGGGATTAAATCCTGTGTAACAGGTTTTACACATCGTTCACACTGTCCTATATATAAATTAGAGATGACGTGGTGCCCGTGTGTATGGTGGGCGTGTGTCCTGGAATCAATTCCTCAGACACTGAACAGTGACTGGTGACTAGATAGGTATTTCAATAAAACATGTCCACCCTGTCCTTTTTAGTTCCCAACTCTGCTTCTCTCTCTCTCTTTTTTAAATTCAGTAAACAGAAATTCCATCCTTCTAGTTGCTTAGGTCAGTATTCCTGGGGCTACCTCAACCCTTGTCTTCTTTCATATCTAAACCCAGTCTATCAGTAAATCCTGTTAACCTTTTTCTCTAAAATATCTCCACAGTCCATCTTTTCCTGCTTCCTCCACTGGTACAATCCTGGCCTGAGTCATCCTTTTACCTGGGTTATTACAAGAGCTGACAAACTGGTCTTCCTGTCTTCTTGTACCATGGCTTGTTTCCAACAAAACAGCCTTGCTTATGTAAGCCAAGCCTCTATGCAAATGTAACGACAGTGCAGTGCAGTCAGAGAAAATGCTCTGCCTTCAACTGCTACTGTCCATTCGGAGAAATGCTAGATCCTGACTTGTGCCTGACGTGCCCACGTGGCATGGTCCCTCCACACTTTTCTGTCTTCATGTCTAGCTACCCTTCTGATTTCTATCACTCTGGTTATACCAGCTTTTCCACTCCTCAAAAGTGTAAACAAGAGTTTGAAGCTGGTTTTGTTGCTACCTGGAAAGACAGCTTATGGCTAATTCTTTGCACGCTTACCAAATGTTTGCTTTATCCTCTCTAAATGGCATACACAACAGACTATCATGTGACCAACTTATATATTTCTCAGCCCCCATGTACTTTCTACTCCCCTTGGCTTCCCGGATCATTTTTGACTCATTTTATATTTGCATGCCTGTTTTTCAGAAGGTAAGCTTCCAAGGACATGGATGCTTTGTGTTTCCTAGCAACAGTGCTTTAGACACAGGTGTTCAAAAACTATTTTACTGAATGAAAGACCCTTTGGCTAACATGTGAAGACTCTGGATCAGGCAACCTTGACTGAATTCTAGTTTTGCCATTTGAAGCCCGAGCAAGCCGGGCAGTGGTGGCGCACGCGTTTAATCACAGCACTCGGGAGGCAGAGGCAGGTGGATCTCTGTGAGTTCGAGACCAGCCTGGTCTACAGGGCTAGTTCCAGGACAGGTTCCAAAGCCACAGAGAAACCCTGTCTCGAAAAACCAAAAAAAAAAAAAAAAAAAGAAGCCCGAGCAACTTCAGGTAGGTTACTTAACCACATTTTATGTGTTCTCGTTATGAAATGGTGATGACAGTCCCCACTGCAGAGCAACACTGTCAAGGACTGAGATTTAGAAGGTAGTAGTAGTATGCTGGATACAGACTCCCTACAAGGGTAGCTAAAAGCCCTAGTTTTTTTTTTGTTTGTTTGTTTTTGTTTTTTTTTTTTTTTTGGCAGGGTCTCACTTTGTAGCTCTAGCTGGACTGGAGCTCACTATATAGACCAGGCTGGCCTCGAACTCCCAGAGACCCACCTGCCTCTGCCTCTCAAGTGCTAGAATTAAAGGTGTGTGCCACCACACACAGCACAAAAGCTCCAGCTTATAATTATGAATAGGTGTTGACTTTTATGCTAATTCAATCAGATATGAACTCAGCTTTGTTCCCAGATACTGGGACACACTAAGATACACTCTTCACTCAGATCTTAGCTATGTGATCTTGGGACTTCTGTGATCACTATACTTCTGTTTCCTCATTCATTAAACCATGAGACTGTAATAACCTACTTCATAGCCTTGAAAAGTGTCTAGCACATAGCAAATTCTCACTGTGCTAGTTCTGATCATGAAGTAGTCCAGGTGAAGGGTCAAAGCATGTATACTAAGAACAGAGCAGTTAAGAAAACCGGGCATCAACTATAGGAATGTTTTCTAGGCTGGGATGGACCCACAACTAAGAAGTTCAACAACGATCAAGAAGTTGCAGGTGTGTGTGCTTGGGTGGGTGTATGCACTGAGGCCAGAGGAGAATGTCGGATGTTCTGCTCAGTCACTCTTCACCTTACTCCTTTGAGACTGGGTCTTTCACTGACCTGGAGTTAGGCTGGCAGCTAGAAAACTCCAGCGATCCTCCTGCCTCAACCCCACAGCACTGGAGTCATAGGCCTGGCCCACCAACTTGGGCTTTTTGTTTTGCTTTGTTTTTTGAGACAGGGTTTTTCTGTGATGCTTCGGAGCCTGGCCTGGAACTCGCTCTGTAGACCAGACTGGCCTCGAACTCACAGAGATCTGCCTGCCTCTGCCTCCTGAGTTCTGGGATTAAAGGCGTGCACCACCACCCTGCCAACTTGGGTTTTTTAGTGAGTGCTGGGATGGAAACTTAGGTCCTCATTCATTTGAGCCATTTCTCCACACCCCTCAAAAAAAAAAGTCAACACAACAGAGGATGTTGAAATGGATTATTAAAAATGCTGCAGGAACCCTGACGGTGGCAGGCAATGGGCAGGAGGTCCCAAGAGCAGCCAGTCCCAGGCAGCCGGCTGCAGGCCCTCGAGTGGGGGCTGGTCCAGGGCAGGGAGACAAAATGCGGTGGGCAAGAGACAGAGACATGGATAGGCACGCCATACACAAGGAGGTTGGATATTTATTAAGTGGGTTATGGAGGGGAAGGGAAAAAGGGAGACGAGGAGGGGGGTAGAAGGGAAAGGGTAAAAGTTGAGAGAGAAGCTGCCTCTTTGAGGTAGATGGAAAAGCAGGGGGCGTGGCTTGTCTCTTAAAGAGACAGATCATTACAGATGTAATTCCATGATTTAAGCAAGCAACCGAGTCAAGAGTCCAGCAGCACACAAAGTTGTGCTTCCTGAGGTGAGGCTGTTAAAGACTAAACTACAGAACTGGACGTAAAAAGGTGGTCCTGGAAGCTGCGCAGTTCCACCAGGTGAGGAAAGGGAAATCCCTTCTGAAGACAGAACAAGAGCCAAGGTGTGGACGTCTGCAAAGGGTACGTGTCCTGAAGGAACCTGAGGAGCTGGCGCGGGGGTGGGGAGGAGGGGGAGGGCTATATATATAAGCGCAGCAGGCACGGAAGGACAGCGTGGACTGGCCCAGCCACCTGAGCGACGCGGCCCTTCCCACACCCAGGTCCCACGCTTTCTGCCTCAGTGTCCCCTCAGGATCTGCTTTTGGACGCTCCTAAGCTGCTGAACTCCCTCTCGCTCCCGCCACTCTTACCTCGTCTTCCAGTCTTTCCCTCACTCTCCCGCCTCCTGCACCTAGACGGAAGTGACGCATAAGTAGCGCGCCCCGCCGCGCCAGAAAGGTTCTGCCGGAGCGGGAGAAAGGGTTTCGGTGAGGCTCACTGCGCCGGCGCGCGGGCGCGAGCGGTTAAAGCGCCTTTTGGTGGCCGAGGACCTGGGATTGTCCCCTGAGCGAGGCCCAAAGAGACTGCCCGCCTCTCAAGGATCGTCTTCCTCTGGTTCCGAAGCCTCTCGGCGGCCGGCTGTGGCCCTTGCCCTTTGACCCCGTGGCGGCGGGGTGAGAGGTCGAGTGGCCATCTTGTGGCGGCGGCGCGGGCGGCTGTTACTGCGGAGACCTGTCCCCTCCCCCAGCCTGATCCCCCTAGCTGTCTGTCAGTCGGCGGCGAGCTCTGCAGCCTGTCAGGGGAGGCCTGGGCCGAGTGCGCTCGCTCTCCCCGTCTCACCGGGCGGCCCAGGCCGCTCCTCGCCGTCGCCACTATGTCCTCCTTCTCGGAGTCGGCGCTGGAAAAGAAGCTTTCGGAGCTGAGCAACTCTCAGCAGAGCGTGCAGACCCTGTCCCTGTGGCTCATCCACCACCGCAAGCACGCAGGACCCATCGTCTCCGTGTGGCACCGCGAGCTCCGCAAAGGTGATCACCCGCACCCCTGGGCTTCCCCACGAGTGTGTGTGTGTGTGTGTGTGTGTGTGTGTGTGTGTGCACCCCAGACCCTCTAGCTTCTTAATTAAGCCTTGCTTTGCAGGCCTGGCTCCCTGATTGAGCTTCTGAGATTGAAGACAGTGCCATTACCTTTCTGGGAGAGGGAAACTGAGGCCCAGGAAGGTATAAGATCTTCATCTGCGGTTCCAAAGGCTCAAATGTCCATACTTGAAGTTGTTAAGCTGCTTTCCACCTCAGGCTCCCCTCTCACTTAGCGACAGTTGTTGTTTTCTTGTTTGTTTTTTTTTGTTTTGTTTTGTTTTGTTTTGTTTTTCGAGACAGGGTTTCTCTGTGGCTTTGGAGCCTGTCCTGGAACTAGCTCTTGTAGACCAGGCTGGTCTCGAACTCACAGAGATCCGCCTGCCTCTGCCTCCCGAGTGCTGGGATTAAAGGCGTGCGCCACCACCGCTCGGCTGTTGTTTTGTTTTTAAATCGTGGCTGTGCTTGGAGCTGGAAGCGTTCTGCACCAGACCCTGTTTTGGGCATTTGGGATGAGATCCAGACGCTCCACATTGAGACCTGGTGCAAACACTTTGTAGCTAAGTAATATTGGGCATGTTTCTTCAGATATCTGTGTGTGTGTGTGTGTGTGTTATCTGTAACACTGTCACAAGCTGTACTTACAAAGCCTTCACTCCATGTCAGTCACTGTCCATAGACTTCAGAACAGCCCTGTCAATTGGGTAGCCTTCTGCACTTGCCACTGAATTCAGACTCTCAGAATCTGACGTTCACTGAGCCCTGCCTGTTACTTTCCAGGCCCTGTGTTGGACACTCAATAGCAAGTTGTCTCTGGCATCTGTCTGGAAGTTAATCCTGTCTTTGCCGCTTACCCCAACAGCTTAACCTCTACGTCTTTTATGTTCCCTGCTATAGAAAATGGGAATAGTGATAATTTATGTTGCTGTGGCTTTATCATGTGCCACTGTCTGTATGTAGGTGGCTTTTGTTTTTTTGCTTTAGGATAGGGCCTCAGTCTTTAGCCTGCAGTGGCCTGGAATTTCCTATGTAGACCAGGCTGGCCTCAGAGATCCTCCTGCTTCTGCCTCCCACATACTGGGATTAACAGCGTGTGCCACGGTACTCGGTGGTTCTTTTTGTCGTTGTTTTGTTGTTTTAATTCTCAAGGCCTTTTGAAGTAGGAACTTTGCAGATGGGGAAAACCCAGGGTTCAACGAAGCCGATTGTGGTAAGAAGCCAGGATAATCCAGTAAACATTTTCGCGTGCTGTAGGCGCAGTGCAAACTTGCAGTAGCAGTGGTGAGTGTGGACTGTTGCTTGCCCAGTGTGCAGCGTGGTCTCTGCCGTCAGGTTGCTACCCTTGATGTGGAGCTGGGGCCCGGCGCATACAAAGCTAACTCTCACTGCCGGGTTCCTTAGCAGAGGCTGAGGAAAATAACTCCATTTGTCCATTCGCGTCTCCTCCTTTTGTTGTAGATGAGGAAACTGAAGTGGATAATGATTGCGTTCAAGGTCTTTGACCTGATGAGGCTGTGCAGACCCCAAATTCCAGGATTTTTTTTCCCCCAGGAGACTGGACTCTAGGCTTCATGCAGAGCCTCCCAGTTTGCATTTGCTATACTGAGAAAGGAATGCCTTCAGCCCTTGGGGGCAGTTGAGTAGAGCCTGGGGTTCCCAGTCCGCTGTACCAGTCCAATATCTACAGCATCTGTGGAGACGTGAGAAAACTGCCAGTAACCTCTGCTGAGTTCTGTTTGGTGAAATCTCTTGGTCATCTTCAGAGCAGACTTGCTTTGCTGGAGCTCTTTTATCTCTAATCTTATCTGATAGAGTCTTCTGTAGTGAGTAGACTGGCATTCTTACCCATTTTATAGACAACAAGACAGGTGCCTCGTCTAGGGGTCCGTAGCTAGGACGTGGGCCCAGGGAGAATTGATATCAAGATTTGTGCTTTTTTTTAGCCGGGCGGTGGTGGCGCACACCTTTAATCCCAGCACTTGGGAGGCAGAGGCAGGTGGATCTCTGTGAGTTCGAGACCAGCCTGGTCTAGAAGAGCTAGTTCCAGGACAGGCTCCAAAACCACAGAGAAACCCTGTCTCGAAAAACCCAAAAAAAAAAAAAAAAAAAAAAGATTTGTGCTTTTTCAAGTACCTGGTGCCATAGTGAGCTTAACGAGTGAAGGCGGTGGTCTGAGTGCAGCCAGCTTTCTTCGATTGAATACTCTCCCCTCCCATCACACCGTTTAGCTTTGCTTCGTTCTTAGCTATGTCTTTTTCACTAGGTTTCTTTTGATCAGGGCCCTCTAATATGCTTAGAATTGTGTCTGTTACCTGGTTAAAAATTTAGTTTAGTAGTTTTGCTGTGCCTCTGATAAGGTTTTCCTAGTTGAGTAAAGGATCTAAACAGCACTGATTCAACTCTCTGCAGCCGGCTCAGTACTGTAGTGTTTCCACAAGGTGGCCATTTAAAGTGGTGGCCTTTAATCCCAGCACTCGGGAGGCAGAGGCAGGCGGATCTCTGTGAGTTCGAGACCAGCCTGGTCTACAGAGCTAGTTCCAGGACAGGCTCCAAAGCCACAAAGAAACCCTGTCTCGGAAAAAAAAAATAAAGTGGTGACAAAGGAGCTACATTTGTGAGTACATGTGACGGAAGCTCAGTTCCCCAGTTTTGTTAGCTCAGTTGACTGGTCATCCATGGCCAATGGCTGCCAAATTGGGTTTTGCAGGACTAGAGTTCTTCCCTAAGCCTTGAGGTGTGTGTTCATCTCCTACCCAGTTTCTCCTGTGAACTGAAAATGTCCCCATACTAAAGTAGAAGGGTTTGTGCTCCGATGTTAAAACTGACTAGCCCCTGTGTTCTAGCTCACCCTGAGTTTTTAAAAATGGCCATTTGTGTTTATGGAGAAGTTATCTTCCCCATCTAAGACATTGCCACAGTCTTTGAGTTGTCCTCAAAGTACTTATGAGTCTTACAAAAATTATTCCTCTCACTTAGGAATTGCTTTTGTTTTTCATGTTATTATTTTCTGTCCACTTTCTAGGAATTACTAATTGGTCCTTTTAGACTGTAAGTAGAACTTCTCTCTTTTATGGAATATTTTGGCACTACAGTGCTTTTTTTTTTTTTCTTTTTTCTTTTCCTTTTTTTTTTTTTTTCCGAGACAGGGTTTCTCTGTAGCTCTTTGGTTCCTGTCCTGGAACTAGCTCTTCTAGACCAGGCTGGTCTCGAACTCACAGAGATCCGCCTGCCTCTGCCTCCCAAGTGCTGGGATTAAAGGCGTGCGCCACCACCTCCCGGCTCTGCAACTGCATTTTGATTGGTTGTGATTTTCTGTAATGGTCTTCTATTGCAAAAAAAAATTTTTTTTTATTTGATGGAGATGAAAACTACACTTATTAGGCCCTGGAAAAAGAGATAATCCCATCTTTGTAACAACAGTAAGACACTGTATTAAGTATTGATACTTTTTGTTTCTTTGAGACACAGTTTCTCTGTGTATCTTTGGCTGTCCTGGAACTCACTCTGTAGACTAAGCTGGCTTTGAACTCCCAGAGATCCACCTGCCTCTGTGCTGGGATTAAAGATGTGAGCCACCACCACACCCAGGTCACTATTGATACTTTTGTTTTGACCCCCCCCCCTTTTTTTTTTAAACAGTCTCAGGATGTAGCTCTGACTGACTGTTTTGCTAGCTGAACTTGCTAGATCCAGGTAGACCAGGCTGGCCTCAGACTAGTGGAGATTTTCCTGCCTCTGTCTTCCCAGTCCTTGGACTAACGGCATGCACTATTTAATATGCCTGGCTTTGTTTTGCTTTTGAATAATCATTATAACAGGTATAGGTTTCTCACAGTCTCCTCAAGTTAATTAAGATAATTAACTTATCTAAATTGGGTTGCTACTAGATGGCTGATGTAGTTCAGTATCTCCCTGTCTAATTCTGTGAGTGTTTTAGGGTATAGTTTAAGCTTTAATGTGCAACCAGACATATTAAGACTGTCTTAAGAAAACAAACAGAGCAACTATAATGTGCTTTTCAAACCCCGTTTTTTATTTGGCTTTCTCTGTAACTGATTTTAAGATATCAGATCTTCTGCCTGCTGTGCTTTTCAAAAGTGTTCTTGGAGAGCAGTGGAGTAAGGACTTGATACACAGTTGTGAAAAAGTTGGCATAAATACTGCTAGATTTTTCTCTTTAACTATAAAGAAAACTTAGTGTTTTGAAACATCTTAGTGTATTCATATTTGTTTCTTTAAAAAGAAAACTGGGACCAAAATTGGTAGTGATACAACTTTAGGGCTGAGAACTTATGTGCATAGAAGCCAGAAAATTCAGTAATGCGCCCCCAAGCAGCTGTAACTCAGGTATATTACATGAAGCTTTTATGGTTTAATATATGATACCATATAAAGTAATAGAAAATAGTACATTTTGTATGTGTAACAGAAAAATTATGTTTTTTGTGGGAGCCATCATTTTGCGTATTCAGATTTGAGATGTGTGTAAATTTCCAACAATAATACAGCATTTCTGCATGTTTGTATTTGAGATAAACATTGGTTGGTATATCTAGAGAATCATCTGGACTGGAGAGTCAGTGTTATTGGCATCTCAAAGAACGAGTCTCAGTTGAGAGCATCAGTTACAAGATTATCTTTCAAAGTTGAATCCTAACTCAGTGTTTCACTCTAGAACGCTTGGTAATGAAGGTTATATTCGAAGTAGATGTCCTCGCAGTACAGTGAATGACACCTTGGTTTTAGCATTAAGATTGACAGCTTGTCTTTAAGAATTTTCCTTGAATTATATCTCTTTTGCTGTCAATGGTTAAAGTAACATAAAAATGAGGCTGTTGTTTTTCATTCTTCTCTCAAAATTGTATTCCCAGATGTACATGTTAGAGACTTCAATGGGTTCCTTTATATTATTCCATTCATTGTTTTATTTAGACATTTACTTGACTCTGAGAGGTAACACTTACCTTAGTGTTCTTTTTGTGGCAGGTGGGTATGTATGTGAAGGCCAGAGGTTGATGTGTCCCCCTTAATCACTATCCACCTTATATAACAGCGTAGGATCACACACTTAAACCCGGAGCTCCTCAGTTAAGCTAACTAGCCGCCAGCCCCAGAGACCCACCTCCACCTGGCATCTTACTTGGGTGTGGGGAACAAATTCCAGTCCTCATGTTTGTGTGACAAGTGCCTTACCTGCTGAACCGTCTTCTCATCCGTAATGTTCTTTAGGAATATCCTAAAAATCATTAATTAAAATTCTTTGGTATAAGTTAAATTGTTCTTTCTTCTTTTTTTTTTCCAGCTAAATCAAATAGGAAGCTTACTTTTCTGTACTTAGCAAATGATGTCATCCAAAACAGTAAAAGGAAAGGACCTGAGTTCACGAGAGAGTTTGAATCTGTCCTTGTGGATGCTTTTTCTCACGTTGCCAGGTATGTTTTCTATTTGGGGGGGCTTTTAAAATTTGCACCTTTTTGTTTTGTTGTTTTTGTGATATCCTTTGTAAATTGACAACTTTGTACTTTACAGAGTGTTGTGAAGGGCAAATTATGGTTTTATGTTTGTCTGAGCCCTTAACTGTCATCTCAGACTGTAAACATTTTGAAAGACTAAAGAGATTGATTCTGGTACCAAACCCCCCTCCCCCCTAATTCACCTACTGATTTCTTCCTTGAGTATGTTTTCCATGGCTGAGTTGTCTCTTTAGCTTATGATCAAAACCAGAGCTAGTAGTATGAAGGAGCCTTTTAGTAATGTCTCCTCAGTAGCAGAAATTGGTTACCAAGACTTCTTTATTTCCTTCTCAATTTCTAGTTTGCTAAAAATATTTGTCATTACTGTCACTACAAAAACAGTCATTGTAAGTGTGGAAAAGTGGATGCTTGAGCCGGGTTGTAGTAAGTCTGCTACTTGAATTGTAGAACGTGCTGAACTGTGGCGGAGTCAGGCAGCTCACACCGGTTCAAACTTTACATCTCTTGTGCTCATTTTCACATCTTGTTGTGGGTGTGAGTTAGGTTCCCAGGAGGAAATTGTGCTTTTTGTTTATTTGGTAGACTGTTGTGTTTGTAAGTATGCACAAAGAATACACAGATCTTTACAAAAAGAAACCAAGAAGAGTGAAAACGAGACTAGTGGGTTAAACAAAAAATGTTCTGGGGTCTAAGAAGGTGCGAGTGAAAGGTCTTAAATGTGAGTTTGTCATATTCCTTGAAGGATTTGAAATGTTCAAAGGAATACAATTAGGAATTCAATATTTTAAAAACACATCTAGCTAAGACTGGAAAGTTTTTTACTTGTACCCGTCGTACTGGCTTCTGATGAACAAAGACAGGAAGTAACAGGATGTATATATTAACTTGAAGAAAATTACTCAATCTTCAAACTGCTGAGAAACTTAAGGTAGGCCACTGGGGCACCTATCTGCAATTGGAGGCAGGGATGTATTGTTTTGATAAGACTTAGTTCGGTACCTTAGATACTGCTCTGTCTCAAACATCACGTGAGTGGCCTTGGGTGTGTAAATAAGTTTTTTAGCCCAAGTTTCTTACCTAGTTAAAAGGCACAGAAACCTCTTATCTCTTAGTTATTGTGACTCTTAGTAGGAGGAGAGGTTCTCTGAGACCTGGTTTACGTTGTATTCAGTCGTTTTCATGCACTGCACTTCCAGTAGGGAAGGGCTTTTTCCTTTCCCAGTTCTCGGGCTGCACACCTTATAGTGCCAAGTGCACAGCCTCCAGTTCAGGAAATGCATTTACATAGCCTTTTATGGGGCTTTGCAAGACCTAGCAGCACTGGCGTCTGTCCTGGTGCTGAGCAGGAATTTAGTGAATATTTGTTGACTGAATTAGGATAATAGTGACTAATTGGTTTACTATTATTACTAAAGGTAGTAAACTAGCATTTTTACTTAAGAATGATAATTTTTACTGACTTAAATTAGAAAAGGACAAGTAGAAAGGACTAAAAGGTAGGTACCAAGATTCAGAGGGCCTGTTTAGTGTGTGGACACATCTTAAACTGTACAGAAGCCAGGTATAGCAGCACACTCCTGTAATTCCAGCCTTCAGAGGCCAGCCTGGGGTATGTAGTGAGATCTTGTCACAAAGAAATGGAAACAGGAGGCATAGGGAGAACAATTGCACATTTTACCTGTCTTTCTCAGCTGCTGTCTTTATTCCAGCTGTTGAAGGTCCAGTTTGTACCATGTGTCTGGGCTTCTCTCCTTCCTTCCACCATTAGAATAGAAAGTACAATAGCTACTTTAATGCTAATGGGCATTATCAACCAAAAGTAATTTAGTATATGCTCATGGTGTACTTCTGCTGTGGCCACTTGGCGATCAAAGGTAACTGACCCATTAATCCTCAAATTGATTATCAATATTTTTATGATGCTTTTATTCTTAAGCAAAAAAAAAATCTTTGAATTCAGAGAAAGCACGATGTTCATAGGGTAGATTTGATTTGAGTAACAGATTATACTAACCAGACTATGAACATGTTATGGTTACAAGTACCCTGTTTTCTTTAAAGTTTACACATTTATTATTTAACATGTATGAGTGTTGTTTATATGTCTCATGCTGATCCAGAGCTTGGGGACTATCAGGGAAGAAGGCAGGCAAGGATAATGAAGTGAACACGACACAGTCAAATAGAATAGTGCTCTAGGGTGGGATCTCCTTTAGGCCAATTGTAGGTAAGGAAGCGACATTTGAGAACCTAAGGTAGAAATAATCATGGCATCTTAAGAGGAACAGTGAAGCCAACATATGGATATGGTGAGCAAAGTCAGATGTAGCCCCAGATGAGATCAGAGAGAGGTAGGTAGAAAAGGACCAGTGACATATTCCCTGAGAGTCTGTCTGGTAGGATGTCAGTCAAGAATTGTAAGCCAGGGAATTAAACAATTCTCATAGACGTTGTAAAATATCCTTTTTAAAAGCTCCTGTTCATGCATATATGTGTGTAGCAGCTAAAAAGAGGCCACGAATTTGAAAGGGAGTTGAAGTGGGTATATGAGAGGCTTTTGAGAGAGGGAAGGAAAATGATGTAATTCTATTATAATTTCCAAAAATAAAAAAATTTAAAAAGGGAAGAGAGATATCTAAAGCCCAGGTAAAGTTAAAGAGAAAAAGAAACCTAAGCATATATCTAGAAGTTTTGCCCTGTCAATCCATATGTTCATAGTGCTGCCACTGAAAGCTCATGGAAAATTTAAGTTTGTAAAATAATGAGTGAGCACTTTTGTACTTAAGAAAAGGGGGGTCAGGGTCAGTACATTAGGAGATGTTTCTCTTTTTATTCAATCACTCTAGTGTATGATAAAGCAGTATGTATACATCTTCTCATTACAGTGTAGAGAAATTTTTAAAAATTTTTAACGGCTTGTATTATGTTGAATAGACTACTCAGACGGTAAAAGCCAAACTAGCTGAATTGGCAAGCTCTGGGTACAATTGATTCTGTCTCGGTATATAAGGTGGAAAATAATTGAGGAAAGCACCTAATGCCAACCTTGAGCCTCTGTGTGCATATACACACACATGTGAACACACATACACACGTGTACTCAAATTACTTGCACACACATAAAAGATTTGTGTGGAGAACGGGTTGTGAAGGGCAAGAACGCCTGAGTTTGAAAGGTTTTCCTGTGGTCTTGGCTAAGGTGAGATTAGTTAAGGTATTTGCAGTGAAAAGGCAGTCTCCATTCACTGAATGCTTGTTCTGTAGATGGAGTCCCCTGTAAAATTCACACAATGTGTTGGAATTAAGTAGGAGCTGGTAGTGAGGGGAGAGTTTCAAAGGTTTTATTATATATATATATATATATATATATATATATATGGGCATTTTGTCTGCATGTATGCCTGTGTACCACATGTGTGCCTAGTACACACAGAGACCACCACACAGGGCATCAGATCCCCTGGAACTGGAGTTATAGGAAGTTGTAAGCTGCCATATTGGTGCTGGGACTAGAACATGGGTCCTCTGGAAGAGCAACAAGGACTATTAACTGCTGAACTGTTTCTCCAGCCCCCCTCCCCATTTCTTTAAAAACAATTTAAAAATTACATGTGTATGTATATATATGCTCATGTGTCTGCGTGTGCTACACCAAACATGTGGAGACGAGAGGACAATTTTCAGAAGTCAATTCACTCCTTCCACCATGTGGGACCCAGGGTTTTAACTTGAGTTGTCAGGCTTGGTGTCCTATACCTTTACCCACTGAGTCATCTTTTCTGATCCTGGGCTTAATTTTTTGAGAGGTAAATCAGTAGTTATTGCCAAATACATGATACTTCTTTGTTGTTTGTGGGTCTCTGTACTTCTCAAGGAGGGTAACTTCCTAGGAGGACTCATGACTGATTTACTACAGCCAGAGCTACAGACAGCCAGCAGAGTGGAAAGGTGAATGGGTGATTGTGACAGCCAGTGTGTAGTTCATTCTGATGGGAAGAGACTCAGCTAAGATTTATGAAAGTCACCTCTGCCATTATTCCTGGAAGTAAGCAGTCAGTCATTCACGTAGAACCATGTTGTTTACACAGTTGGGACACAAACCACCAAGTTCCTTAGGAAGTGGACATTGTCCTGAAATCCCAGTCCTCAGGTGTGCTCCTGTTTTAGCTTTCTGTCACTGCCAGAGATAAACATAAGGGATTAAGAATCTCTCTAGGCTCATGGTTCCCGAGGTTCAGTTCCTGCTGCCAGCTCCACTTCTTTTTGAATGTAGGAGGCAGAACATCACAGCAGGGAGAGTGTACGGGAGCCCTCATGATAGCCAGGAAAGAGGAGCAGGGGTTGGAGGGGCCCCTCTGAAGCTGTCTCCTAATGGTCCATTCAGCTGTGAACTCATTGATGATGTAAGCAACTTCCTGGTTTTTCTTTATCCACAGCACCCCATGGCCAGGATCAGAGTCTTCAGTATTGGATACTTTTTGTGGGGCCACTTTATACACAAATGATTAGCAGGTACCAGTTGACAGCAGGTCTTTCTAGAACACAGCATTTGTATTAAATTTTTTTTTCTCTCTCTCTCTTTTATTTATTTTTTTTATTTTTTGAGACAGGGTTTCTCTGCTTAGCCGTGGCTCTCCTGGAACTCACTCTGTAGACCTGGCTGGTCTTGAACTCAGAGATCCTCCTGCCTCTGCCCTCTGAGTGCTTAATTCTTTTTCTTCAGGTTTATTTTTTTGTTTGTGTGTTTGTGTGTCTGCAGGGTTGCATGTGCACATGAATTCAGGTGCTTATGGTAGCCAAAAGCAGCAGATTCTCCCTGGAACTAGAGTTGGAGGTTGTTATAACTAAGTGTTCTTAACTGCTCGGCCACTTTTCCAGCCCCATTCATTCTTTTCTGAACAATTATGAGGGAATTTTCTGTTACAACTTTGCATAAGGTACTGTGGGAAGAGCTGACATTTTAGAAGAAGGGATTCCACTTCTGCTGGGTCTGCCACAGCTTGTTATGTAGGGGATCAGACTAATGTACAAATTACAAACAAATATGCACATCAGCACACACATGAGAAGTATATCTGCATTCAAAGAACTACCCTTGAAGCACAGGAAGAAAGGTCTCTGAGGCTCATTTGGCAGAGCTTAGGTGTCCAGCTGACACTTGAAGAAGCAGTGCAGTGTGTGCGCTGTGCCACGCTGTGAGTTGGCCGATTTTGGACTTCTGTATTAAAAAAGTGAGCATAGGTTGAATTCATAATTAGAATTAAAATATATTTTAAACATTCAATATAAATACTCAGTGTGTGGGTGATTATTTCTTTCTTTTCCATAGTTTAATAGCAAATTTTTTTTAAAGAATTTATTTTATTTTTTTTTG